CCACAAAATCCCTGGATACTCTTTATGATTAAGTTTGAAAAACTTAAGGTTGTCAAACTTTATTTACTTTAAATACTAATGCAAAGAACCATGATGGACTATGAAGGCAGCAGCTATGAGCACAGATTTAGGATCTAGGACTCAAGAGAGATAACAACACATTCCTTTGTTTGCCTGAGCATCACAGGTGTTTGTGTGTCTATCCTAAGGAGTAAAAACCAGTTTAAAAAACAGAAATTTTAAAAGCGTGGATATAGGAAAACTCAGTCTACATGCAGATGTTTATAGCCAGGGAAACTCAACAAAAATTGATTGTGCCTAACCGTGTACTGGAGTGTTGTAGGCAAACTCACTGAAATGCCACTGAGTCACATATTAACGTCCATAGAACTGAACATCAGACAATAAAATGAGAACCAAGACTGTGCCATGTGTCTGTCATGCTACACACCACCTATACATCAGGGGACATCCATATACACTGAATGAACCTAGGTAGAAGAAAATAGATCCTAAATCAGTCTCCCCCCTGTCTGTCAAACATAAATATACATGGAGCCTTCTGCCTGCAATTAGGATACTTTATCCTCAAAACTTAAGGAAAGCATAAAAACTGTATGTTAAGGTATGTCTAAATACATGAACGCAAACACCAAGGAAAATGATAAATGGCTAAATTTGTTTGTGTTTCCTAGAGAGTCATATGGGAGCAGATCAACCATCTACCTGTTTCACAATAGGCCAGCACTAGGCTCCACTTTGGATTCTTTAACTGAGATAACAATATGCTTTTTCTATATTTAGGACATGGCCACTACAGTTGTGATTCCACAGAAAAATGAAGATATTAATGTCTGATGATATCATTTAGACAATATATATATATATATCACTATAGGGAGATGAAAGATAGTTGATGGATAATTGAAAAGATAGATAGATAGATAGATAGATAGATAGATAGATAGATAGATAGACAGACAGACATAGGCTGATATGGACACATAGTGTTAAGGCATCAATTACATTCCTGTGTATGTTCTTTGATCAATCAGTATGTCATCAGATCATTTTAATCTTAAAGACATTAAGTGTATCAAGATTATTTTTCATCTGTCACTACCAGCTGGGTCATTACTGAAAAATTTGTAATTTATTTAACAATAAAGAGTGGCAGTCAAAGTAACACAAGAACATTAACTATACTTACATGGCCCCCCAGGCACCCAAGACCCTGGGCTAGCCGTGGACCTCATGATACAGACGAAAGGGTAACTTCATCTTGGGAATATCCACAGAGATGAAAAGAAGAAAGGATTAAAACACAATCTTCTTCTGTACCATGACCCTGGTGTTGCATCTATTTTATTTTACTCATCTAAGTATAAAAAACTATAATATATTCTTCGTGAGAAAATACACCGGAGACCCAGTTGTAATCCCACCAAGAACGTTAGACACTGCTTTAAACAAAACAGAGCATCCTCAGCTTAGGTATTCTAACTATGCACATTTATTACTAGAAGGTTTCTGAGCATTATATATGTACTGTTAATATTGACATTTAGTATTACTATGGACAATGGAGGACATACATTCATATGTACATGTATATATGTACATATATATAGTACAATGAAAATTCATCAACATAAATTTTATGACACACACTCATTATACTACACCTGACATCTGTGTCACAACGCACACTACATATGTTCTCCTGTGAACCTCAGACTCCCAGACCTGTAGTCATGATCCCCGGATCATATATCATCAGTGGTCATCATTGATCCAACATCAGCTTTGCCTTTCGCTTTCTCTCACTGTGTTATTTTTACCTATCTATCTGTGTCTCCTGTGATAGTTACATAACTATTGTTCACAAAATCCTGATATTGAGATATTGAGGTAACTCAATCGTTTGTGCCACCCTCACTATCTGTGTCTTCTCTTAATTTCAGAGCCCTCAGCACTGTGACATGGACATGTTTAATTGAGCTCACAGTCACAGATGTCCTAACAGGAACCTATGCATGCCTTTACCAAGACAGCAGAGTTTTATCAAGCCCACCCAAAGAGCTCTGACTCCACTTACATCAGTTTTGTGGATCCTCACACAAGGGATAAAGCAACCATGGACTCCCAGCCAGGCAACAGTGTGTCACTCAGCATCCAAGCAGGGAGGACAGAGCAGGGAAGATAATAAGAAGATTGATGTTTTCAAATCATTTCTATACTTTCCCGTACACTAAATATTATTTAGGATTCAAATTGTTGATGGTGTCTTAAAGAAACAAGTAAGGAGTCGACCCTCTCTGGGGCCTAATTCAGTATTTATATATTATTTGTGAAATTGGATGACATTTATACACATCTATATGCCAATTATTTCTTAACTGTCTTACAGAATTTATGCAAGTAGCAATGACTTTTTTGATGCAATATTTAATTTGTAAGTGATCAAAGCCTCACTAAATGTATTTTTTAATTATATGTATATTTATGTCATGTTTCATTGATCCACTGAGGACATGCATGAAAGTGCCTGATTCTAATGTCCAGCATGTGATCCACATGTCTAACTTTTGTCACCTGGCTAAGAGGGAGGTGTGAGGTGTGTGATGCTGTGAACCTCAGACAGGGAGTGATGTAGCCATCGTCAATGCATGACTTAGAAAGCCGCCAGCCTGGTCATCATTGGTCCATACTACCTGTCTCTACTCTAGCAATATGTGCATGTTGGATGTTTAACAAACAACTATAACTTTGTTTGTTTTTCAGGATAAGTGAATCCTTTACTCAGGGACAATCTATACTCTATAATAATATAGAGCATCATCCCATGGAGGAAAAGAATACAACAATTCAGAATATTACTCACACAGCTTTGGGTCTTCTGTAAACACCAAGAGTAAGTGTAGAGTTTGAGGGTGACCCAGTGTTTAAAGCAGACTGAAGCCATTGCTTCTGAGGGATGACCACTGCGGATGATGAAAATTTATTGACTTAACTTATGTAGCCTTTGTAAAAAATTTTATGTATATGTTTGCGAATCTGTGGTAACAACTATAAGTATTCACTTAATAAAATTTAAATCTTTGCGTCTGGTCCATTTTAGGTTGCAAAATTTTAATGAAAATTTTTTGCTTTGTTTTGTTTTCATGACAGGGCTTCTCTGTGTAGCTAACGAGTGTGTGCTAGCACATAGTTTGTAGATCAGACTGACCTCAAACTCACAGAGATCCTGGTATCTCTGTGTCCAGAATGCTGGGATAAAGATGTGCACCACAAACATCCTGGATACTTTTTATGATTAAGTTTGAAAAACTTAAGGATATCAAACTGTATTTCCTTTAAACACTAAAGCAAAGACCCATGGTGAAATGTGAAGGCAGCAGCTATGAGCACAGATTTCCGGATCTAAAACTCAAGAGAGATAACCACACATTCCTTGGTTTGCCTGAGCATCACAGGTGTATGTGTGTCTATCATAAGGAGTAAAAAACAGTTTAAAAAAACAAGAAATATTAAAAGAGTGGATAGATAGGGAGACTCAGTCTACACTCAGATGTTTATAGCCAGGTAAACTTAACAATAATTGATTGGGCCTAACCGTGTACTGGAGTGTTGTAAGCAAGCTCACTGAAAAGCCACTGAGTCACATATTAATTTCCCTACAACTGAACATGAGGCAACAAAATGAGAACCAAGACTGGTCCATGTGTCTGTCTAGCTACACACCACCTATTCATCAGGGGACATCTAAATACACTGAGTGAACCTAAGTAGAAGGAAAAAGATCCTAAATCAGTCTCCCCAACTGTTTGTCAAACATAAATACACATGGAGCCCTCTGCCTGCATATAGGATACTTTAACCACAAAACTTCAAGGAAAGTGTAAAAACTGTATGTTAAGGTATGTCTAAATACATGAACACAAACACCAAGGAAAATGATAAATGGCTAAATTTATTTGTGTTTCCTAGTGAGTCATATGGGAGCAGATCAACATCTACCTGTTTCACAATAGGCCAGCACTAGGCTCTACTTTGGATTCCTTAACAGAGATAACAATATGCTTTTTCTATAGTTATGACACGGCCACTACAGTTGTGATTCCACCGAAAAATGATGATATTAATGTCAGATGATATCATTTACATAATAGATAGATGAAGATATTTGATGGATAAGTGAATGGATAGATAGATAGCTACACGTAGGCTGATGTGGACATATAAAATTAATATCAGTTATATTCCTTTTATGTTTCACACAATTCCTTTGTTTCAGTATGTCATCAGATACTTTTTATCTTAGAGACATTAAGTGTTCCAAGGATATGTTTCATCTGTCACTACCAGCTGTGACATTACTGAAAATATTGTTATTCGTTTAACAATAAGGAGTAGCAGTAAAAGTAACCAAGAACATGGACTATACTTACATGACCCCCCATGCTCCCAAGACCCTAGGCTAGCCGTGGACCTCATGATACAGACGGAAGGGTAACTTCAGCTTTGGAATATCCACAGAGATGAAAAGAAGAAAGGATTAAAACACAATCTTCTTCTGTACCATGGCCCTAGTTTTGTATCTATTTATTTTAGTTATCTAATATATAAAACTATAATATATTCTTCTTGAGAAAATACACAGGAGAACCAGTTGTAATCCTAACAAGAATTTTGGACACTGCTTTAAACAACAGAGAGCATCCTCAGCTTAGGTATTTTAACTCTGCACATATATCACTAGAAGGTTTCTGAGAAATAAATATATACTGTTACTATTAATATTTAGTATTATTATGGACAATGCTGGACACTCATTCATATGTATATATATATATACATATTTGTATATGTGTATGTATATGTACACATGCAAATATATATACAGTACAATGAAATTTCATGCACAAAAATACTATGACAAACACTCAATATATAACACCTGACATCTGTGTCATAACCCACACTACATGTGTTCTCCTATGAGCCTCAGACTCCCAGACCTGTAGTCATGACCCGGTTCATACATCATCTGTGGTCTTCATTGATCCAACACTACCTTTGCCTTCCTCTTTCTCTTTCTCAGTGTTATTATTACAGAATTATCTGTGTCTCTTGTGATAGTTACATAACTATTGGTCACAAAATCCTTATACTGAGATATTGAGGTAATTCAACAGTTTGTGCCACCATGACTCTCTGTCTCTTCTCTTAATTTCAGAGCCCTCAGCACTGTCTCATGGCCATGTTTAATTGAGCTCACAGTAACAGTTTTCCTAACAGGAGCCTATGCATGCTTTCATCAAGACAGGAGTGTCTTACCAAGGCAACCAAAGCAAGACAAGAACTGTGACTCCACTTACATCAGTTCTCTGGATCCTCACACATGGGTATAGGGTAACCATGGACCTCCCAGCTAGGCAACAGTGTGTCACTCAGCATCCATAAAGGAAGGACAGAGCAGGGAAGATAAGAAAAAGATTGATGTTTCTCAAGTCATTTCTACATTTTCCTTTCACTACTTGTTACTTAGGATTCAATTGTTGATGGTGTCTTAAAAAGCAAGTAAGGTGTTGACCCTCTCTGGGGCTTAATCCATTATTTATGTATCATATGTGAACTTGCATAATGTTTATATACATCTTTATGCCAATTATTTCTTAACTGACTTCCATATTTTATGCATGTTGTGATGCATTTGTGGTGCAATATTTAATTTCTAACTGATCAATGCCTCAATAAATATATTTGCATTTATATGTATATTTATACCATGTTTCATTAATGCACTGAGGACATGCATGAAAGTGCCTGATTCTAATGTCCAGCATGTCCTCCATATGTCTAACTTTTGTCACCTGGCTAAGAGGGAGGTGTGAGGTGTGTGATGCTGTGAACCTCAGACAGGAAGTGATGTAGTCATCGTCAATGCATGACTTAGATCGCCGCCGAGCCTGGTCATCATTGGTCCATACTACCTGTCTCTACTCTAGCAATATGTGCATGTTGGATGTTTAACAAACAACTATAACTTTGTTTGTTTTTCAGGATAAGTGAATCCTTTACTCAGGGACAATCTATACTCTATAATAATATAGAG